TATAAGGCACAAAAATGTATGTATTGTTGTTATTATTATGATTATTATTATTATTGTTGTTGTTATTGTTTCCAATAATTTAATGAATGTAATAATAGTTATAATACGAAAACATGAATTACTAAAAATGGATGAATCAATCAGTCAGTTAATTAATCAAATCTTCCTTTGTCCTTTTCTTTTTCTTCTAGGGACGCTGTATGAATTTCAATCGGGTGCAGCATCAATAGACGACAGCATCCCGTCTCTGATATACTTTGACTTCCAAGTATATCAGATGGAACAACAGAAAGAACGTAATTTCCTCGAGATGATATAGCTTATCATTGGCCACTTCAGAGTATCTTGTTTCTGCGCTTTACAAGTATTGGCTTTCCAAAACTTATAATTCTGGTATCTCGCAAGCTAGTGAACGGCAAGCGGATGACTAAATAGATCAACAAAAAAGTGTCTGATTTTGCAGCTGATCTGGTTAGCTTTAATGCACAGCAAAGGCTTTTTCATGTTCTGACCATATTGTGCCTTCTGTGAAAAAAAAAAAAAAAACGAATCTTATGGACACAGACGGAGGCTATTTCAAAAAAAAAAAAAAAAAGAAGCAGAATGAGATGAGGCTCTTTGCCGTTGGCTGAGAAGTAGAACTAATCCCAGTAGGCTCATGGAGTGCAGTAGTACTTTGCCTCTTGGCAGTGTCTCTTCACAAAAATCTCTCCAAGCCCACTATTGTCGGATGCCTAGCGGGGCTTCTTTGACTGGAGATCTTGTCATTTTAATACTGAGAAGTGCACACGCATGACAAATTGTAGACAGAACGCCCTAAGGTATCGGATGCAGTAAGACTTTGCCCTTTAGTTTGTGAAGACACCTTTCTATCAATGCGAGGACAGTGCAGAGAAATTAATAGAGCGTTATTGCACCGCAAGACACCCTGTGACCAAAGCTTTCCGGCAAGGTTTTGAGGGACAGATTTACCAACCTGGTGGTTGGTGCTTCCTCCCCATTTATTTGGCAGTCTGTTCTGTGCTCACTAATGCATAGACCATCACAATTCGGAAACATGCCCCTCAGTTAAAGTTTTAACACATCAATACAGCTGTCCACCCACCTCCCGATCTCCACAAATGTTGTGCATTGGAATATCAAACTTTGATAGATCTTAAGGCAACTTTAGAGATTCTTCTTTTGTATGAGGTTTGACCTCTCATGAGATTTTCTGTAGAAATTAAGGAGTTCCTCAGCTGTGCTAATGTGACACCCTCATCCGATATACTCGGAAGATCAAACCGAAAGGGGCGACGGACGGATGAGTATTGTTCATTTCTAGAAATTATCCACATCGCACTCCCCCCTCCACTTGCTCACAGAAAAGCGAGCAATATATATATATATTTTAGATTTATTTAACGCGCTGTCACGACGACGATCGCGAATGATGTCAGTGTCAGTGGAAACACTGTGGGGGAGGAAGGGGGCGGCAGCTGAAGAAAAAGGCTCGAACGATCTAGTCACTTTCGATACGCTACTTCAGATGCAAAATGGATATTCGAGTCGAAATCTGACAAAGCGTGCCGGCTTTGACGGGAAGTGGTATAGACAATGACCAGTGGCTGGGTCAGTGGGATGTCTCAGTGCAAGCAGGGAAGCTTATCAAATGACACTAAAAATAAGTTCAACAACCATCAAGTTTGAGGGGGGAACAGAATGGGGCGCAGTGGCTCACATTCGGTGGGCATGCAAGTGTGCAAGATGGCAGGACCGTTGGGGGGAAAAAAGCCCTTGTTTAATGATTTCTTTGTTTCTATGATCGTAATTGTAGGGACATTAATTACTGCTCAACCCCCCCCCCCAAAAAAAAGAACAGAATACATACATAGAAAAGTTCAAACATTTGAAATCGTTCCCGGAGTGGCACTTAAGCTAATGCACTTCTTGGATAGCTAGGTGAGTGTAATTTTCAGCCTTATTTTTATGTGTATTTCTCATGTCACAGATCATAGAATGTCAGTTAAGTGTTACTAAAAATTTCATTAGGTTTTTACATGTTAGTTGTAACATGGCTTAATATTTTTACCAGCTCCTCACATGCTATTAATCCACCTCAACATCACCAGAGCACATCTGCTTTGCTTTCTCTTTATTATTGTTTTTGCTTTTTTTATTTACCTTTTATTTTTATGTTGCATTTTACATTGTTATATTTATGTTTTCACATCATTTGTGGTTCTTGTGAGTTTTTATGTATTTTATCTGACCCATTAATGCGTTTGTAGAAAAACTGATTGTAAACTTTGTTGCAAATTGGGTTTATTCTTTGTAATATTGAACTAAGCACACCAGCTATAAAAAATAATGTTAGTAATTTTTGTAAAAAAAATAAATAAAAAAAGAAGCTAATTGCACCTAAAATAGAAAAGGTCACAAAGTTTTGATGTAGAAATTGGATAGAAAAACAAGGATTTATTTCATTTTTAAGCAACTCAGTGATGACAATTGTGCAGTATTTGTTGTACATAAAAAGGCAAAGAAATAATGTATTGGTAGTGATAATTTGTTAATTTAATTAAAACCCATTTAGGTTTAGACACAATTTTTTTATATATGTTAGTACTTGTGGCCCTTGTGATTATATCTCATGTGATATGTCTCATGTCCCGCTGCAGTCTGGCCAATGAATGTAATTTCAATAGTAACTTATGTTTATTTCTCTCTGAAAACAGTGGGTCTGCAGATATAAACTTCACTAGTGCACTGGTTAAAAAGTACTATTTAAACCCTAGTAGTGCACATAAACATTTTTTTAAATGCACATACATTTTAAAATAATAATAATAATAATAAATAAAAATACTGGAAATTGTGAAAAGCAATGGGCAGTGAATTTGGCCTCATAGAAGGCAGCGCTCTCTATACACTGGCACTGGCCAGTGACCGCTGCATTTTACACTCATTTTACAAAATTGACATTCGACTTCTTGATTTGTTTCTCACCCACATGAGATGCTACTAAGAAATCATTTGATCTGTAAAGAAAGCTAGAGACACTCAGATCCACCATAACAATTAGATTGTGTTCACTGTCAGTCATACTGTGTCAGTTTTTTTCTGCATTTGTCTTGTGCTATAGTAATGACACCATACACATCAAAGCATTTAGTACCCTGTACATCTCAGCATGATCTCGCATGACAGATTTCAGGAGAATCTCATTTAATCTAATTTTCACATTTTCCTTTATTCAGCCATTATTGAGTTTCGGATATTTTTGTATCTTTTGTATTTGCATTTTGCATTTATTTGTATAAAATAAATGACACTTTTTTTTTAATGAAGCTGTGTCCTTTCTAAACACCTGTCAGTATCACTGAACTTCAATGATTCATCACACTTAAGCAGATTACTCACTGTATTTGATTCTGAACAGCTTACACTCAGTAATAGTGAGTTATTAAAAGCCATATTTTCATATGATAAACTGCTTTAAACCAAAACATCTGCTTATCTGTCTTATCTGACTATTAGCAGAACTGGACTTGATGTTTTGAACTGTTTTAAATACACATCTCTTCTTTAGCTAACAGTATGAATGCATGTTTAGAATGACCTTTTTAATGCAATACACTGAAAATGGTTCATTTTTGTTTTGGGGACTCATGCAGTCACCATTAGTCAGTTTATACATATATACTGTAGAATAACAAATTAGAATGTAAATAATGTTGGGTTCTTGCTACACTGCACAAGTTCTTATTTAGATCTATCCTACAATTTTAGGCTGTACACATAACTCATTTATCTCTATCCATCCAGCTGTACAAGGGCCTTGTTAAGCATATATTCAACCATTAAACCTACAGGATTCCCACCTAACCCTGCTCTCCAGCTGTGCGTGAGGAAAAAGCTTCATGGAGTTCAGTGCTGCTCATAATTTCCCCTTGAAATGAGGCGTTAAGAGACGTTTCACACACCTGGTTATGACCATAAAACCACTTCTTTTAAAGTCAAAACTTGTGCCTTTAACACAACATTAGGTCTCAAAAGGAAATTTTCCACTTAAGGTAAGGTGAGTTGAGTGGCATGGCTCATTATCACAGGTTCACACTGTTTGATAGAAGTGTTATGGGGTGTAAATGCTGAATTATAACATTTTTAATTCATCTTCCAAGTTTGATGACGTGGAACGTCAAACTTCTATCAAAAACTTGTTGGAAATTAAATGGGTTGATTTTTTTATTATTATTTAATTCCCCCCTCATACACCTTTTTTTTTTTTTTTTTTGACAAGTGTCAATTTCATTTTTGGTTATTTTCTGCCCTTAAGAATTGTTCAAATTGCTATCATTGTATTATATTTGTAGCTTTTTCTGAAAAAAAAGTTGTGGTTTGTGTTCTCAAATACAGAAATCTAAAGTGTATATTGTTCTAAAAGAGCAGGAGGTGCTTCCTGAACAAAATCAGACAGGATTTCCTCACCTAATGATGGCCATAAAACAGAATCCTTACTACTTTGATTGTTTTCATGGACAATCCAGATTAATGCAGCTGTTCTCTATGTAAGCTGGTCTGGGTTTACAGGTTATCCCAGTTTTCACAGTTGTCTAAGAATTGTGGTTACGCTGATTAAACACTGCAGAAATACTAACCTTTCAAAGAGAGGCCGCTGGTTTCTTTTTTATGACCATCTTGTTAGACTTGACACTTGAGTTTATGCAAAGCATTTCAAAGTGAATAAAACCTAATCCTGCTTATGCTGTAAAGAGTTGAATCGCTATGTGCCACATGTGGAACGTGCAGGTGGTGGATTACTGTTACAGTATTTTACTCAATGTTTTTTAGCACTTACAACTATTACATGCTGTTTTAGTGATTTTTCCCTCCTATAAATGTTGTTATGCAGCATAGTTGAAAAAAGCAAAGCAACCACGAGGCATGAGCTGACACTGACGCCAGCACACTCACCTCAGTGCTGGGAGCGTTAGAGGGTGGGCGAATCGCTCCGTCTGTTAACGCTAAAAACCAACATACGAGTGTCGGTTCACTTTTGACTCCAGCATGAGAGCGAAAATATTGCTCTCCACACACCGTGCTACAAACACGACAGACACATCTCTCAGCCAACCCACGAAGCAGCACCAAATGAGGGCGGAGCTTTCAGCAGCTAACAGAGGTCACCTTGCCACTGGTCAGAAAAGTTCAATTAATGGACTTGGAAAGAAACAATGACCGGCGGTGATTTTTTCAGCTGGTTTCAGTGCCTTTGTGTCATCTGATGCCCAGAACAGCTTTTAGAATTTTACAGCAGATGTCCGAATTGTACTAATATTTCCGGTTTATTTCCGGCAAATTTCCTTTTATTTCCTCATTTGCAGAGAACATTACTAAATAGTAACAGATCGAGTGCTAGTGATCAAAAGGTGATTCGCTCTCAAATCAGCTGTAAAGCGATCAGCAACACATGTCAGACACTGCTTCAATTGTCATTTACGAGGGACGTTTGAGGAACGCAGACTATTCCAGTTGGGTCCAGCTCAGTCAACACTGCCCATAATCCAGCCTGCCCACCGCAGAGATGCACTGAGAGAAGGCCATTACTACCTCAGATGCTCCAAGTTCTCTAAGCACAAACACAGGCAGCCCACCTCTCCCAGTCACTGGCATCATTTAACATTACGATATTTTCCCTGTGTTTTTTGACGGATGATGGGGCCTCATTGCTATGCAAGTGCCAGATGAATCATAAACCTATACCATATGCCATCGCAATTTGCTGATGGGACCAAGCTGTTTTGGTGGATATAAAATCCAGGGATTATAAATGCCTGATCCTCAGTGAATGGTAGAGGCACTAGGTGGGGTGAACGCAAGCCGTCTTATCTAATGAATTGGGTCAGTGAGCAGTGGAAAAATGCAAAGATCCACCAGCATCAACCTGCTACCTTTACTTTGGTTAATCCTCAAAACAGCAGAAATGTTCTGGACAATGGCATTGTTGAAAAAAAATTATAATATGAAAATAAACAAACCGTTCAGTGACAACATGTTTGTCACCTTCAGTCAATGTCAAAGCTTTACGACGAACAAACAAAATAAAAGGATAATCTGAATGATTTTTTAGATAATTTCAGCAGGATTATTACTTTTGTGTGGACACGTACATATTATAACCAACAGCAATTCAAAACATTTCAGCAGTGTCCACTATTTGCATGTTGGCCTTCAAGATAACCTTTTTTCTACTTTTATATGCTTTATATTTTATAAAATATAAAGAGCTTAACAAATGATTAATAATATATTTATTTAATGTATATATATATACTCTAAATGGTTTAGTAAGATAATTAAAATAAATACTTATTCAGCAAGGATGCATTAAATTGTCAAATCGGACAAAAGAGAAGTAGAAACTGACAAAAGATTTATATTTCAAATAAATGAATTTTTTAAACATTCTATTCATCCAAAAATTCTGAAAAAAAGTATCATGGTTTCCACAAAAAAAGTAACACTTTATTTTAAGGTGTCCTTGTTACACTTTACATGTACTTACTATTATAATAACAATAAATTATGCATAATTGCATGCAAGTAACCCTAAGCCAAACCTTAATTCTAACCCTAACCTAGTAAGTACATGTAGTTAATTAATATTACTCAGTATTTAAATGTATAATTACACTGTAACAAGGACACTTTAAAATAAAAAAAATATTCTTTAAAATTCAACTTCTTAAAAATCTTACAGGGCCCCCAAATGTTTGTTAATTTTCTAGAGTTTTTTATTATTATATTATTATTATTATTATTTTTAACTTGGCAGCCTCTTATTGCATGTAAACCTCACTTATTGTGTGGAAAAAATACCTATTAGTTTATATTTTTTATTTTCTAAAGTGCCTTAGCACCTCACTAATTGTATGCAAAAGAGCAGTGTGAAGAAAATGCTTATTAGTTTATTTTTTAAAGTGCCTTAGCACCTCACTTATTGTATGCAAAAGAGCAGTGTGAAAAAAAATGACAGTTAGTTTATATTTTGTATTTATCATTTTCTAAAGTGCCTTAAATAGCATCTGCTATTTAGTCACAAGCGAAAATAAAGAAATCCTAAATCATTGTTTAAAACCCAACAATGATTTGTTTACACTACAAAATTGTTTCACTTATTATTACATAAATTGCTGGTGAAATGAAAATACGTTAATCCCCCGGCTAACGTCACCTTCGCCATAATCCTTAACAGCCAACAGCTGCAATGTGTTATGCGATTATGATGTTCACAAAAACAGCCTTTGAAGCAGCCGCACCAACAAACTGTTTGTTTGTGTGTGTGGATTAGTCATACCCCAGGTGGTCAGCCTTTCTCCAAACTAGACGAGTTAAGCTTGCTACGTAATGTATACAGTACATACAGCCACAGTATCACAGAGCTCCATCTTTGGTATGTTGTTCTGTATCTACAATTGATGGTCTCATTCAGTTTGATCCTGTTATATAAATGATCTTGCACTGTATACCACTGAGGTACTGTAGATACTAACTAAGCGTATAACGTATAACATGTTTGTGCTCGAGCTCAGAGAACTTGTTGACTTC